GGGGGGGGGTTCCCCCATTCCTGACCCCCCCTCCCCTCGCCCCACAGCCGCTGATCAGCCGCAACTACAAGGGGGACGTGGGGCTGGGGGAGATCGAGCACTTCATGGGGGTCCTGCTGCAGCGGGAGGAGGAGGGGACCCTCACGCCCCTCCTGACCCACGGCCACGTCCACTTCCTGTGGATCAAACACGCCAACCTCTACTGTATCCTTCTGGGACCCCTCCCCGGACCCCTCTGAACCCCCTCCCAGCCATGGGGACCCCCCGGTGCCCCCCCTTTCCTTAACACCCCCCCGGCAGTGGTGGCCACCACCAAGAAGAACGGCAACGCCTCCCTGGTCTACTCCTTCCTCTACAAGGTGGTGGAGGTGAGTTTGGTGGGTTTGGGGGGTGAGACCCTAATGTGGGGGTCTCCCCTCTCCGGGGGGGGTGACAGAGGTGACAGGTGAGCCCCCTGCCCCCCCCCCAGGTGTTCTGTGAGTACTTCAAGGAGCTGGAGGAGGAAAGTATCCGCGACAACTTCGTCATCGTCTACGAGCTGCTGGACGAGCTGATGGACTTCGGGTTCCCGCAGACCACGGACAGCAAGATCCTGCAGGAGTGAGCGCGGGGGGGGTCCGGGGGGGCGCTGGGGACCCCCCCTGAAGCCCCCTCACCTCCTTCCCCCCCGCAGGTACATCACACAGGAGGGCAACAAGCTGGACACGGGCAAGTCTCGGGTGCCCACCACGGTGACCAACGCGGTGTCCTGGCGCTCCGAGGGCATCCGATACAAGAAGAACGAGGTGTTCATCGACGTCATCGAGTCGGTCAACCTGCTGGTGAGGGGGGCATGGGGAGAGGGGGGCTGACAGGGCTGGGGGGGCTGACAGGGCTGGGGGGGGCTGACAGGGCTGGGGGGGTGAGGGGTGAGGATCGGGATGGGGCTGAGGGTGGGGACGTTGTGGGATCGGTGATGGGGTTGGGGATGGTGATGGGGTTGGGGATGAAGGTGGAGATGGGGTTGGGGATGGGGATGAGGATGGGGATGGAGATGAGGATGGTGATGAGGAGGGTGATGGGGTCAGAGATGAAGGTGGGGATGGGGATGGGGATGGGGATGGGGATGGGGATGGGGATGGGG